CTGACCGACGGGATCCGCGACAACGGGTAGGACCAGGGTCCCCCCCCCCAACACTTCTCCTGGCTTTCGGGGCGCGTAGCGGGCTCGGCTTCCGACGAGGCGCGCAAGGAGGCTGCGGGGCCGCGCAACGGCCGGCCGGGAGACGTTGGACCTTGCAAGGCGCCAGTCCCTTTTTATTTAAATTGAATTTATTGAAAAAGGTCATATAATAATAACAAACCAAAAGGGGAAGAAAAAAAGAAAGAAAAAAAAGAGAAGTGCAAGAAAACGAAAAGAAAACGAACAGTTAAGAGACATATCAATGACTTCTGACTTTTCAACAGATAATTACATTCTTATTGTCCCTCCTCTCTCTTTACAAGCCCCTTCACCCCTTCATTCAGTCCTCCTCTTTCTTTGTTTTCAAATCCATCAATTCATTTCCCCCCCCCCCCCCCCCTTCTAGCAAAAAAAGTCCATATAAGGCTTCCAGCCTTTCCAAACAATTTGTTTTCTGTTGTTTGTCCTCTGACCAAACAGGTCAGTTTCACCCTGTCTGACATTGCTGACATTTTCGCAATCCCTTCCTCGACTTTGGGACTATCATGATGCTTCCGTTGTTTTGCACACCGTAATCTTGCTGCGGTTATTGCCAGAGGCGGGATCAATGGATCATGAGTCTTTTCTAATGCATGGTCCATAAGTCCCCATAAGAAAACGTGCAAGGCACTAGTCCTGGGGAGGGTTGCGCTCGTGCGAATCCCTGGGGAATGCAGCAAGGATGTTGGGGAAGAGAAGAGAACTGTTACAAGCTGCAAACTGAAATGGGGCACTGCTTTCTTGGCAGGAGAACAAGGAGCCTTCAGCCATCTGAGGTCTGAAATAATTGCATCACGTCTGCCCTGTGCTCCTCTTTGACTCTGGTCCTGTTTACACTGATAGGCGCGCACCTAAAGCAGATGAATTCCTCGACAGGTTTGGCTAGACTAGACATGGTTCAGCCTGCCAAGTTCAAAAGCTGCCCTTAAGGGGCCAATTCCCGACAGCTGAGAGGGGGTGATGGACCTTCATCATTCCTTGCACCCATTTCGCAGCCAGCTCCAGATCGGAAGTTCAACATTCCCAGGGTGCACGTGTCGCTGTTCCAAAACAGAATCCCTGTCGTTTTTCATCACAATGCTGGTTTTCAAGCATCGGTAGAAAGCCCGTTCTATGATTCCTCCCCCTTTCCATATCGTAGAATTTGCTCCTCGATCACATAACTGGTTTGGATGACAAAACCTGTCCTTGTAACCTGCAGTTCGAGCTTGCTGGGGAAAAAAAAATGGGCAGATTTTCTTATCTTTTTTTCTGCCCCTTACGCAACAGAGATCTTTGATTCGGCAACTCCGTGATGCTGGTTCCTTTCCGGTGCGATGGTGTTATTACAGTTCCTTAAAAATGAAGTCAGATGTACGAGCAGAGGTTACAGAGAGACTTTTATCCATGGACAAGGGTTTTGAATTTGGGGCAGACGTAGAAAGGCAGGGAAAAGTTAAAGGACGGATAGCGTGTGCTGGACAAATGAAGAGCCCAGGGCATTTTATACGATAAACCTTGAATGTGGATTTGAAGACAAGGAGGAGAGTTGTAGAACAGGAGAAGATGGCCAAGTGGATTGATTAGCAGCAGAGAGGGGAAGAATCCCTAGCCGTTCAACAGGGTTCCCTATTGATGATTTCCTACTGAGGACTAGAAGCTTGAAACCAATACAAAGGGTAATGGGGAGGCCATGTAAGAAAGTACGCAAGCAAAGTGTTGTTACTGTGCCAGGAAAGACAAGTGACAGACTTATACACAGTTGAGAGAAGAGGAAGAGAAGAGGAAAACACACATACACACACCCACACACACACACTAAAGACTAGATGCAAAATGTCATGGGGAGACCGTGTCAGAAATTTAAGGGGGTACTCTTCTGCTAGGAAAGTAAAGGGACTAATTTGTATTAGGGAAGTGAAGTTTTTTTTTTCATGCTGAGGACTAGAAGCTTGAAACAAGTTTTCATGCTGAGGACTAGAAGCTTGAAACATGCAAGTAGAACTGGTCAGGCTGCATTAGGAATTAAGCCAAGGGGTGTTACAGTGTTAGGAGATAATCGAGGGAGGAATGCATTTTTTCATTAGCTGCTCTCTTTTTCTCTCCCTTTCACAGATGGGCCGTCCTGGAATTAACTACCAACGAGAAGTATAATGATAGCATTCAGGCCTATGCAGCCGGACTTGCTGAAGCCGCCGTGTCTGAGCAGGTGAGCTCACAACAAGGAAAATCACAACTGAGTTAAATGCAACCCACGTGCCTCATGTCAGTGCATGTTGTAGCTTTCTCTACCTTAAAGCCACGATGAGGCGATCTGGAGGAAAGCTTTGGCAGATCCATCCAAATTTGGGGGACCAAATGGGACTCTGAAACCTCATGATGTACACCTTTTCTCTAGAGAGAAAACAGGGTTTTGTTTGATTCATTCCGTATGCAACACTGTGAGCTTAGGGAGGGCTAAGGGATGTGAAGTAGCCTCTGAACATGTGCAGAAGGGTATCTCTCATCACTGGAAACCCAACTTACCTGTTAACTGGACCAGTGAGGATGTGTGGTGTAGGTGTTCTGAATAAACCCAAAGAAAACACGGACGTTGTCCCCAAGTTGCACTGAGTGAAGGTTTAAATTACAATTCTAGTCCTGAAGATTTGCAGCGATCAAGGAGGGGCAACTAGAAAAGCAGGACTGTCTCGCTCAGACCGATGTGTGAAACTCTTGACTGCAAACTTTATTTTTTACCTTTCTCCTCTCCAGGGTGAGCTTGTTAGTGGTGCCCAAGGGAATAATCTTTCAGACACTGGACGCTGTTTAAGTAACAGCTGTCATTAATTTATTTAAATTTAATTTATTTAAATTTAAATTGTTTAAATAACAACTGTCATGAAATGCACACTCAGTCCTTCTGAATGGGAAGGTCAAAGGGTGAAATTTGTAGAGAAAAGGCCAGCAGGAGATATCATGCTTGGAGAATTCTCCCCACCCCCTGATCGTTCAGCGTCAGCCCTGTGAGGTAGTCCAGACAAGAAGCACCAACCAGGAGTACTAACATGACCTTTACATTCACAGGATCTTGCAAATCTGATAATATTTCTCCCCTCCTTTCCTTGTACTCTCCAAACAACTAGAGAGGGTTCCTTCTGAAGCTCTTCCCACACCCTCCCACCTTCTGTGGGCTGAGATATCTTTTACACGCTGGTTGTCCCTTCTGTGGCTCTTCCATCCGTCCCCCAAGGTCATGCCCACAGTCCATTACATCCAGTGAGGACTAGAGGCACTAATGCAAGAGAAGGCCAACAGTCTTTTAGAGGGAGGGGAAGCTGGGATGGTGACAAAGGGATGGAATGGGGTCTCCTAGAAACCAGAACTTCTACAGGAACTTCACCATAACTGTTCCACCTTACCACACGTGACAGTAGCTTCCATTCGCATTTCACAATGCTGGGTTGGCGGTCTCCTCTGATTCTGCACGTGCTCGTCTTGCGGAGCAACATCTGGAGCAAACCGCAACCAGGGCAAAATGGCATTAGATTTACAGCAAGGTTATCATGCCAGCACCCTTACATACTTGTGTCCGGACATCAGACGCAGATATGCAAGTTGTGGCATTTGCACAAGGACACCTCATTTCCTTGCGTCCTCCCCAGGGGACGGACATCCAGGATCTGGTGTTTTCGGAGAAGGATTTAGCCTTGTACCATCCCTTTTTTATTTCATGCCTTGCAGCTGATATATATGCACTGGATGAACACCATGGTTAGCTATTGTGGGCCTTTTACGTATGAGACGGACTACTGCCAAAAGCTGAAAAATTATATTGAAACCAACCTGGCTTGGATGGAGCAACAGATTGAGGACGCAGGAATGGACTCCGTGTACTGGTATCAGGTACAATTGTCTGGATATCGTGATGAAAATTAGGGCTTTAGTCAACAGAACATCTGTTCTGTAGCTCGTTCTGCTCCAGCAGAAGATCAGAGGAAGGAAAAAAAGAAGAACTGAGACTGGGAACTTTTATGTTAAATATTGATTTTGCTACGTGGCCAAGCTAGCGTTTTTGCTGAGGAGGGTGACCCATCACATTTCGTGTGTTTAAAAAACATGTAGAAGATGTCCGATTGTTAAAACACACGTCTATCCAGCCTGCAAGCGAATGGCTTTCTTAAGGGTGGTGACACACTTGCCGTTTGGTTTCAAGTCCGTCGCGGAATATCCTTCGAGGCTATGCCTGACAGAATCTCCAGGCGGGTAAAAGGAGGCTGGTTGGATTTTTTATCCTGTCCCCTGGGGACAAACGATATTGGTTCATGCCCATCTTTGACAGTGGGGTCCTGGGTTAGCCGTTCAAGGAAGAGCGGCTCAGAAACAGACACCCCAAGGAACAGTAGAACTTTATTGGTAGAGGGTATAACAACATCTTGAAAGCCTGAGAGCATTTCCACATCTCGTCCTCATATACCAGTGTTTCTCAACCTTGGCAACTTGAAGATGTGTGGACTTCAATTCCCAGAATTC